TTTTTTTTTTTTTTTTTTTTTTTATAATTATACCAAAATTTTATAGAGATTATAGAGAATAAAGCTATCCACTTGTTGATTTTGAAATGAAATAATCTAATTTGTTAAAAAAATTGAAATAATAATTTTTTTCAACGCCTTATTAACAAATGTTCTGATTTGTTTTTCGGCTGCGTGTCTAAGTAAATTTGATTAAAATATATAAATTATAATTTATTAATCAATATGAACATAACTCAATGAACCTCAAAATAAATCATATAATTTTATTTTTTTTTTAATAATAAATATATAACTATACTATGAACAATTAATTTGAATTAAAGGTAAGTGACACCAAATATTTGTGCATTCGTCACAAAGATTCGTTGACATTTCAATTAGATTTATTTTATTTTGGGAAGGCTGCTTAATTATAATTCAAAATATATTTCCAAAAATAAATAATAAAGACGAAGAAAATAATATGTTTTAAAAATATATGAAAAATTGGTTGGTGAGTTTCAAAAGGACGTTTGTATTCCAAATAGGTAAGAAGGTTAGTTGATGCCAATTTGGTGGGAAAGAGACAAGCAGGGACCCATTGTTAGATTGGCTCAAAAATACAAAATCAAAAAATAATTGTTGGAAAATAAAATAAAACACTAAAATGGCAAGATACTAATTTGAATATCATCTAAATTTCATCCACACGGCACTTATAGAAATATATAAATTTAGTTTTATTTGGGTATGAAATTCTTTTAATCAATCCAAAATAAAAAAAAAATATATACTATAAAAAGATGAAAGAATAAGTTGCAAAGAACTCGATCTCCACTACGATCCCCTGAAAAATAAAGTTAGTATTTCATGAGAATGAAGATTGAAACAGGAGACACCAGACGTGAGCTTTGCTTCTAATTTGTATTGAGGAGAAAAACCAGCAAGAGCTTAATTCATCATCTAACATAATATTAGAGTCATGTCATAAACTTAGTCGTGTCAATAGATTGGTAAATCTTCAAATGTCGAACAACGGACTCCAAAAGAAAAGGAGGCAAGCCTCCTCGAAGGCACAGTCAAAATTGACTAAGACTCCTTTGACTCCAAAAGAAAAGGAGTCGAACCTCGATTAAAGGGAGGGAAAAGAAGTCAAGCCTCCTCAAAGGCATAGTCAAACACCAAGCTTATAACGATTTAGAGAACGGAGAAATATGAACTAAAACCAGGTAACTACTTATAGAAGGCTGAATTTGATTAGAACTAATTTCTTGTTTACATTTGAGAGGAGGAAACTTACAAGAGAAAATTATAGAGGCTCATTGAGGAATCCAGTTATGAATCTTGGAATGCCCGCAAAATCAGACACTATTTTCAGATCACAAAGCCTCCCTCTGTGATTGTCTTCCACGTACTTCACAAGATACTTGCTCTGATCTTCACCGTTTGTCTGCAAGAACATGAAATCACGAGGTCCAATACCAATAATACCCATACATACAGTAACAAATCAATGCACTTTCCCACATTCAAACTCCCAAGAATGGTCGAGTAACTAGAGATATCGATTTAACGGTCTAGTGAAGACCCATCTCAAACAGGGTGGGAAATCCCCATTTGAATGGGGAATACATGAGGCCGTGGGGAGAGATTTTTCCCTATTACCTAAATAGGGTTGTGAACCGAAATTATATTCCCTGTCCCCATCCCTACTTCTAACCCCGTCAAGTCTCCATCCTATTATACTCACTTTTTACCTATGGGCTCAAAACTTAATATAAATATATATATATATATATATATATATATATATATATATATATTTGCTTAATAAGTAAATAAATAAATATGTACCAATTTTGTTAAGGTTTTGCTTATAAAATCTTATGGAATTTATTTATATTTTATATTTTCTTAATTCATATCAGTGATTTCACTCGTCAACTACATTTAAAATGAAAATGGTCCATATTCTCTTTGAAAATAATATATAGAGGAAAAAACTCTCTCATAAAACCCCACTTCATAAAACTCCACTTCCGCAAAAATAAATGAAAAATATTTAAGCAGATATGGGAATTGAAATAGGAGACAGGGATGGGGAAGGTTTCCCCGTCCCTGCCCCACCCCATGGACATCTCTAACAATAACAACCAGTATAAGTTTACGACATCCCGGACCTCTAGTTTCAATAATGTCTAAAATGAATCCGACAGTTTTTCTTTCTTCCATTTGGATCTTACCCTTTTGTATGAACCAAAAGCATAGTTTAAACCTTTCCTATTTGACCAACGAGAGATGAAAAAGTTGTTTCTCTATAACACAAAACGAAGTAACAACATAATGGAGCAAAGAAACAAGGAAACAAGGAAACAAGGAAACAAGGTTACCTCAAAAGCAAAGAAACCACCAGGTTTCAACATTACAGCAGCTTCATCACATAGATGTATAAGCTCATCCATGCCATTAGTGCCTCCATCCAATGCAACTCTAGGCTCATGCTTACCAACCTCAGCTTGTAGGCCAACAATATTATCACTGGGTATGTACGGAGGATTACTAATAATCCCAGATAGCTTTCCCACGACGTCCCTTAATGGCTTGTACCATGATCCTTGCCTTAACTCGATCAACTCCTGATTTGACATTGAAAGCAGAAATTATCAATGGTTGCCATGAATGAAAAACTCGGATTAAATACACTATCAAAGTTATTAATCATAATCATCTAGATTTAGGTCAACTGAGATCCTACATCGGTTGGAAAGGGAAACAAAACATTCCTTATAAGGGGTGTGGAAACCTCTCCCTAACATTTCCACACCCTAACAAATGCATTTTAAAATTGTGAGGCTGAAGGCGATACATAACGGGTCAAAGCGGACAATATATGTTAGCGGTGGACTTGAGCTGTTACAGATAGTGTTAGAGCCAAATATTGGGCGGTGTGCCAACGAAAATGCTGGATCCCTAAGGGGGTGAATTGTGAGATCCCACATCGGTTGAAGTGCAGAACGAAGCATTCCTTATAAGGGTGTGGAAACTTCTCCCCAACAAATGCGTTCTAAAATCGCAAGGCTGATGACGATATGTAAAGGGCCAAATAAGACAATATATGTTAGCAGTGGGTTTGAGCTGTTACAAATAGTATCAGAGCCAGACATCAAGTAGTGTGCCAGCCAGACATCAAGTAGTGTGCCAGTGAGGACGTTGGGCTCCTAAGGAGGTAGATTGTGAGATCTCATATTTGTTAGAGAGGAGAAGTATTCCTTGTAAGAGTGTAGAAACCTCTCCCTAACAAACACATTTTAAAATCGTGAGACTGACAGTGTGGAGACTTCTCATTAACAAGCACATTTTAAAACTGCGAAGCTAACGACGATACGTAACGGACAAAAGCGGACAATATTTGTTGCAGTAGACTTAGGCTATTACAGGCTTACGTACCCCTCAAAGTTGAGTAATCTCAAGAACACCCATATCATCCAAGTCCTAAGAACATTGATTACAAAACTACAAAGTGGCTACTATATTTCATTATCAACAAAATCCTTTTATCTTTAAGGTCAATCCATAACAATTGATTTTGATGAACAGTTTTAACTAACCTGTAATCCATACCTCTGAACGTTGTAGCCAGCAACCGTAAGCGCAGTGGGGCTTAAATCAGTGGCTATGACTCTACCACGACCCTCCAAAACCCTACAAATCGCAATAGCAATTGCACCACTTCCAGTGCCCAAATCAACCCAGAACCCTTCTCTGAGCGCTTCATTATCAGAGACCACTTCCGCCACCAAATCCACCAAAACCTCCGTCTCCGGCCTCGGAATCAGAACTCCTTCTACACTCAAAATCAAATCCCTCCAGTGCTCGCACCCAACAATGTATTGGAACGGTCTCCTTTCATGGATCCTCTGCTTCCAAAGCCTGTAGAGTTCCTCGATTCCTACTTTTAACCTCACATTTCTAAGATTATGTTCATGATTTTGCTCGGAATTAGTTCGCAGTTCAGAACTTATCGATTTATCTTCAACGGCATCTTCTACCAGCCATTTGAGCTCTCTGTGTAAGAGGGCGGAGTCTGGACCGTTGTCGGCGTCCACAAAGGATGAACCAACTGAAGAACTTAGGGTTTTGGCCCAATCGTGCCATTTCTGAAGATCTGTGAGTGTGGCGGAGTAATTGGGAGGCCTTAAAAACAATGGGATTCGAGGTTTTGAGGAAGAAGAGCAAATGGATCGACTCGGCCTGACGCGATGAGGGGCTGCGAGATATGCACGAGATATGCTTAGCCTCATTGCCCCCCGCCCGATGGAATGCAACTGTAGCGGCACTGCACTTCCCATTTTAGCACCAAATTTTTAAATTTTATTTAATACACAAAAGATGATATATATTGTATCAGGGTCCATTTACATCAATCATACAATATATTACAATAATTGTGAATAAAATATTGTTAAAATTATCAAAAAAATATTTCAATTCAAGTAACATGGAAGAAGAATGAGTTTCATGTTATAAATTTTGGGTGGAATACAATTTAGAGTAATTATATTTCATTAATATATTTTAAGACTTTTATAGTCCGTAGGAATGTTATAATTCTTCTAATGCCTTTAATAGTTTCATTTTGACTATATAAAGTCATGCATGTTGTATTGGTAAGTAGACTTGAAAAATATAGTAAAAGAACATTTGTGCTTTTCTTTAGCCAATGACTAAGTTTCTCTTCAATTCTATGTAGTTTAAGTTGCATGTATAATCATTCAAGCTTGACATAATTAATTTTGGTTGTGGAGTGAATCTCAAACAAGTGTTCTTGCCTTGAGATATTTGATCAACAAGAATTATTAAAGGTAGACATGATCGATCTTGTTTGTGGAGTGATTCGAATTTCAAACAATGTTCTTGCCTTGAGATATTCGATCAACAAGGTAATCCAAATCTTACTCCTCTTCGAATGCCTTTATATAGTCTCAAAATGGAACTACTAAAGTCATTCAAAGAGTGGTAACATTTATACTTAATGACCATAATTAACCATGTAATTGTAACCTAAATTAAATTAAAAGTCTTAATGAAATATAATTACTCTAAATTATAATCCACCCAAAATTTATAATATGAAATTTCATTATTCTTCAATGTGGCATGAATTGAAATATCTTTCGATAATTTCAACCATATTTTATTCACATCTTCATTGAAGCATATTGTATAATTGATGTCTCTTGGTTCGTATTAGATTACTCTGTTGATCGAATATCTGAAAGCAAGAACACGAAGATTAGAATCTCCATACAAACAAGATCAACCATGTCTAACTTAAATGATTCTAAACATACAATCTAAACTTGACTCTAATGACAAAGAATCAAATGAAAGTAAAATTTAGATTACTTGTTGATCAAATATCTCAAGACGAAACACTTGATGAAGATTCAAATCACTCAACGAGCAAAATTAATCATATCGAACTTGAATGATTCTACATGCAACCTAAACTACTTAGAATTGCAAAGAAACATAGTCATTAACTAAAGAAAAAACACAAATCATCGTTTTATTATATTTTTCAAGTTTATTTTAAAAAGATAACATAAATCACTTTAGACTTTTATTTAACTTTTATAAACAATTTATATTTTAAAATATTTATAAAAATAGTAAAAGTAATATTGAAGTTTTAAAAAAAAAAATTGAAATAAATGAAATTTAAAAGTATTTTATTTTTATAATTTAACCCCAAATAATTAATGGTGACAAGTTTACAAGGGAAATTTCCTGATTCATGGCGGGCAGGTAAAGGCGTCGGTTGCACGTGTGCGAGCTCAGTTTCACACGTGTGAGTCCACTTCCTTCTGATTGGCCCAACCAGTGCCCCATTATCAATTCCCAAGCATCTCTTTCTCTTCAGCATTCCACTCTCACTCATACTCTCTCTCTCTCTCCATCACTCATAAACAGACAGGAATCTTATAACTATCGTGCTCACGGCGATTTTTGGTATTTTTTTAGCGTCACATTCCCCGATACATCTGCATTTCACGATTGCTGGATCTTGGATCGGTTTGCAGGTTCGAATGTCTGTTTCAATTACCACATTTAGTTCTAATTTTACTGAATTTGTTGTGCTTCTCGGATTCATTTCCTGTATCTGCAACCATTGATCGATTCTCATTTATGTGGCTGTTCCTTTTGCTTTTTTACAATTTTTTTAGCTGTGTGATTCGTGAGATCATTTCACTTTGCTTTGACTGACAAAGATGCTTGCTACACTCGGAAATTATAGTTAGTTTGAGCTGAAATTTTTGCTACTTCTGCTGCTTCAAGTCCAAATAGTTGATGCCGTTTACATGCTGCCGGGGTTTGGAATATAACTACTTGAATTGCATATTCTGGGGAATATTGATCGGATGAAGTTCATTCCTCTGGAAAATCGAGTAATATGCTATGGATTTTCCTTTAATGGTGACGGTTGTTGAATTTACTATGGACATTCTTATATAATGTTGTGGCTTCATGTGGCATGTCCACTGGGAATAGTAAGATGACAATCTGTTGGCCCACCGGGTTATTCGAGTATGGTAAAATCTTGCTGACTTGGGTTTATCGTTCTTGAATCCGATTGGTTTTAATTTCCTTGCGTGGCCCCATTTTTATGACACTTTCAGCAGCATGATCTTATATTGGATCGTGGGCCAGCATTTTGTCAACACGTAAGTTAAACTCTAACGGAAGGAATCCTGAAGCAGTGTATTAGAAGAATTTGTGTACAGTTTACCCTTTCTAGTCTGGGTGAGAATTTGATACGTAGAAAAGTTTATCATGATTGAAGTGTTGGTGTGAACTAAATCATTTAAAACTGCAAGCAAAATCTGTAACGTTGAGAATTTTGTAGTACTTACTGTATACTGTCATATGCTAAGAGTAAACAGCTTCTTCTATGTCAGGTGGCGTCTTTCTTGTGGCATCTCGTAGTTACCAATTTAATATATGTTGAAGAAAACCATTCCAGGATTTGGTATTTCAGATGGTTTATTGTAATTGTATGATGCTTGACTGGTGCCACCATGGGCTTCTATATGGTAAAATGTCAATGGCTACTTATTCTTCACATTGTTCCGCTTTGCTTGATAATGAGCAGAAGCAGTGGTATCAGTTCTGATGGTATGATTGACCTTTCTTTGCTTTTAGATATAGAGCCAGTGTATATCTAGGCATTAGTTCAATCGAGGAAATATTTCTAGGTATTCTAATCACTGGGAGAATGTTTCTTAGTACACGTTGAACCTTGAACCGCATCATGATACCAACTCTTGGCTTTTTCTTTCCCTGGGATATCAATATCTGTCACCTTTCTTATCTTACTACATTAATATTGGACTCTATAATATATAGATTTAGAATAGACATAGGATATGATGCCATCACCAACCTTAACCATCATGATACCTTTTCCCGAGAAAAGGTTAGATAAATGTTCATTTATTACAATTTCATAAGTATGCACTTTCGCCTGGAGGCGATCAACGAGCATCCTGGGAGTGCTTAGATCAGTGGGAATCTTTCGTAATAGGAACATGTAATGCTCTTGTGCATATATGACGGATGTTGTCATTGAGTAAGAACAGTGAACAACTATTTTCTATTTCAACGATACCTGCACATTATGAGTCTCTCTCAGTGCTCGGTATCTCACGTTTATTGTAGGTGAGGCACTTTTGAGCTTCAGAGCAGCAATTCTTGATTCTGATGGTGTTCTTCTTCAATGGAAGCCAGAGGCACGCCATCCTTGTAAATGGAAAGGAGTAACGTGTGATCCAAAAACTAAGAGAGTGATATATCTGTGAGTTCATCCTTGGTGGTTTCTCATCCTTTTTGTTTACAAATTTTAAATTTTATTGTACTTAATATCAGGGGTTATGTAGATAAAGGCTTAGAGGGAATGAGTTTAAGCTACCTCCCTTCGATTTAATATCTATACTTTTGCACATCTAACCTAAATAGGATTAGAAAATGATAGGACAGAAATTTCTCAGAGAGAATACTTACAATAAAGGCTGTGGAGTAATATTAAAATTGAATACTTTTGTTTATTTAACCTAAATAGGTATGGAAAATGGTAGGGCAGAAATTTCTGAGAGAATGCTTTCAGGAAAGGCTGTGGAGCAATATTAAAATTGAAGCTCAGTCACTCGCAAATTTTGCAACATCACTCATAGCGTAGTCACCAAATGAACTTTTTGTCTACTAGGAGTTCTCTCTTTAATCCATCAACGGATTTTAGATTTTTATATATTTACTTATTCTTAAGAACCCTTTTTGGTTATCTCGCAGGAGTCTTCCTTATCACAAACTTAGTGGATCGTTATCCCCTGAACTTGGAAAGCTTGATCAGCTAAAAGTTTTGTACGTATTTCTGTTGTTTCTTAGGCAGTTGATGCCTATTGAATATTACTAAACGTCGGTGAAGTTAATGCTAGAAATTTATCATTTTGCAGAGCTCTTCATGACAATAACTTTTATGGGACAATTCCATCAGAGTTAGGGAATTGCTCACAGTTGCAGGGAATGTAAGTATTTACAGCGACTGGTTGTCCGGATGTGTTATATAATTTATTTTATTGGGGAGGGTGATGTTAAGATTACGTACAAATGCAGCCAATAAATATTCATACTAATTCGTGGAATTAACTACCAACTTAGCCTGTGTAATGTGTTGCTCATGGTTTAATCTATAAATTCATAAATTGATTTTGTACTAAAATTGGTAAACAATAAAGAGCAAAACTTCCAGAAATCTTTTTGCATTGAACTAAAATTTTTATTGTGGGTGCTGGTACTGATGTATGCCCAGAATACCAGGGAACGGGTAATTTTATTATTGGTTCTGCTTGTGCAATCAATGGGGTGTCAAGCAAGGATGGATCCGTCCAACGGAAGCCACCGAAGATTTTTTTTTTTTTTTGACAAAGGAAACAACAGAAAAAATTAGGAATAATACATCCTTCTTAGAATGATATCCTCCATATCTTAACATCGCTCAATGCAAGGCTCTACGGAAAGTTTAATTTTCATCGGGACTCTTTTCTGTTTTGTTGTTATTATTTCGTCTGGGAGGAGGGGTTTAGACGTTTTTGCTCTATTGAAAGTGCTTTCTTAACAGGATCCAGAATCTTATATTGTTTTTTTCTTTAAATCTACAAGTTGATTTGTGTTTACAGTAGCTTCCCAAGAAAATCTCTTATGATTACAATTCCGCATCCCAGTCATGTTTCTATATTTTTTGTACATACCGATGAAATTAAACGAGTTGCAATTTTCATTATTTTCCTCAGGTTCCTGCAGGGTAATTATTTTAGTGGGTTCATTCCCAATGAATTGGGGAATCTTTCAGCACTTCTAAATTTGTAAGTTTTAATTTCCTTTTTCATGGAATCTTGTACAGTCAGATATTTTTTATTTCCTGTAGTTTTATGACTGACAATCATTGCAAAATCGCAATGACGTGTTTTAGAATTACATTTGGATCTCAATAGGTCAAAACGGTTTACCGTCCAAGCACTGACAACCATGTTATCACGCCAACTATATGCCATTGTCACCACTTTCATTCTTAAAATGTTTTAATGTCATTTGGAATTTCAATTTATCTGCATTTCAATGTCTTATTTGCACGCGCTCGCTATACACAATCATGCACACAAGCGGTAACATCTATGCCTTCCACGCATGAAAGCATTATTATGTGTTGAACGTATTTCTATTAATTTGTTTGGAATTGTTCACTCGTAAATCTTTCTTCCTTTGGGATATTCTGATCTTGAATCTTCTTTTGGGATTTTTTTAAAAAATTGTTGCAGAGATATTTCAAGTAACTCACTCGGTGGAAATATTCCCATCTCGCTTGGGAAGCTGAGCAAGCTTATTACTCTGTAAGCAGCCTTTATTACTTTTCGTTATTCCAGTGCTTGGTATAATTTTTGTTAATCAAATGGTTTCCTGCTTCAAATATATTGAGTCTGATGATCTCATGATTGGACATTTTGAAGAAATGTTTCTGCCAATTTTCTGGTTGGATCAATACCAAATGTTGGCGTGCTAATCAACTTCTCCGAAAGTTCGTAAGTGTTCTCTGATGGACCTATGATGTTTTTATTTAAATTAAGTAGATGCATAATATGGCTTTGAAGGTGCTGTCAGTCCCGTAGATCGTACAGGAAACACTTCATCTGAAGGGCTTTATAGTGAATTAATTTGCTAATGCAAGTTTTCCCTTTTAAGTCATTGATAACTGATTCACTGACAATTTTTTAGATTTCTTGGAAACCGTGGTTTGTGCGGGAAGCAAATCAATGTTATGTGCAAACATGACAAGGAGGGACCAGGAAGAAATGAGTCACCATTCTCAGGTTAACTTGCACTTGAGTTTATCTGACATAATGCAAATTATTTCATATGTTTATTGAGATCCCTTCTTCCTTGGAAAGTTGCTCTAGTGACCCGGCCATAAGGAATACGGAAGGAATACTTAGTTCCTTATCTTCCGTATTACTTAATATGTTTCTAGGATTCGTGAAGTTCCTAGTGAACTCATCATCAGGACTTCTCATCAGAGTAACTCTATCCTGGCTTTTCATGAGTTATATTTTGATGAAAGTTCAAATTTTTGTAGTGCAAAGTCAAATTGAGAGGAAGAATTTCTCTGGCCGACTACTTATAAGTGCTTCGGCAACTGTGGGTGCTTTGCTGTTGGTTGCCCTAATGTGTTTCTGGGGTTGCTTTATGTATAAAAAGTTCGGCAAAAATGACAATAAAGGGCAAGTGCTCGATGTTTGTGGAGGTACTTATTTATTAATTCCCTGCACACTAGTTGAATAACTGTTTCTTAAACAAGAAACGAAAATTTTTACTGGAGAAATATGGAATGAAAAGAAACCAAGTACTTGTGTTGACTTTCCTTTCCTGGCTCTGAATGTCATTTAATATCGTCTTGTTATTTCAGGTGCATCGGGTGTAATGTTTCACGGAGACTTGCCATACTCATCTAAAGATATTATTAAGAAATTTGAGACATTGAATGAAGAACACATAATAGGATGTGGGGGCTTTGGAACGGTGTACAAGCTTGCAATGGATGATGGCAATGTTTTTGCCTTGAAGAGAATTGTAAAATTGAATGAGGGCTTTGATCGATTTTTTGAGAGGGAGCTTGAAATCCTTGGAAGCATAAAACACAGGTTCCTTGTGAATTTGCGTGGATATTGCAAGTCTCCTACATCAAAGCTGTTAATTTATGATTTCCTTTCTGGAGGCAGCCTTGATGAGGCACTACACGGTAAGATTCTTATGATATTATTTTTATGCTTCGTTTTCTGCAAGGGCACTTCATATCATGCCAAAACATACTGACGTAGGGAGTTGGATAGCTGCTCACATCTATTTGTTCACCTATTACTTCTGGAGACAGTATTCAATTACTAGATTTTCCTTTGTAGTACATGCAAGTCTAGATGTTAGAACTCATCCGTGTCCTAGTTTTTGTTTGTGACATACATTCTAGGCCCAAAATGCCTGGTTGTTAGTTGAATATGGATAGAAAAGGATTGTTATTTAAGTATTATGTTAGAACTCATCCGTGTCCTAGTTTCTGTTTGTGACATACACTCTAGGCCCAAATATGATTTAATGCATTTTATGTGGTAAATGATAGGGGTCCGTACTGAAGCATCGGATCAACTATACTGGGACGCACGCTTAAATATCATCATGGGAGCTGCAAAGGGACTTGCCTATTTGCATCATGATTGCTCTCCGCGGATCATTCACCGAGACATAAAATCAAGCAACATTTTACTTGATGCTAATTTGGAGGCTCGAGTTTCTGATTTTGGACTTGCGAAGCTTTTAGAGGATGAAGAATCTCATATCACGACTATTGTTGCAGGAACATTTGGTTATCTGGCTCCTGGTAAGCCATTGAAAATGTGATTTTTGTAAGGTTTTAGAACAATGGTTCTTTACTGATGCATAAACTGAGCTCGAACAATAAAAACTGTTTTCTAACTTAAATGACATGTTCATGCTAATCTTTATGGTTTTATGAGCAGAGTATATGCAAAGTGGTAGAGCTACTGAAAAGACTGATGTGTACAGTTTTGGAGTATTGGTACTTGAAGTGATGAGTGGCAAACGTCCCACAGATGCATCATTCATTGAGAAGGGGCTAAACATTGTTGGTTGGGTATGCTTCTTTCCTTCTGAATTTCACGGACTATTCTTCTATTTTGAATTAACTGTGGTTAATTTGGCGTTGAGTATTTCTTCATGAACAACATGAAAAAATTTCACACAGATGCTGGTAAGCCATAAGCATACTTGACGATATTTGTTTGTTTTGATATTGTATGTTCTAGTAGTTAAATTACAAATTTTGATCCTGTAAGTTTGAATTTGTGGCCGTCTAGAAAGTTCATAATCTTTCAATTTTGTGTTCAGTAGCTCTTTAAACCTTCAATTTTGTGTCGGATAGTCTTCTCCATTCAAAATTTTTACAAATTAATTGATCTATTAATATGAATTCAAATTGATGAAATTCTGAATTTTTTATTTTGTGTTTGGTAGATCGATGAATTTAAAAAAATTCAAATGTTCAAGTACTAAATTTGTAATTTGAAAGTTTAAAGACTAAATAGATATAAACTTTTACGTAAGATAGTTTGATAAATTTCATCCAAAATGATCTCTTCGACACAATATCTACACTTTGAGACCCAACAGATGGTATCCCATAGAAACGCTCTTCTAACAAATGTTATTCGTTTTTCAGCTAAACTTTCTAGTCTCGGAGAATCGACAACGAGAAATAGTCGATCCACATTGGGAGGGCATGCAAACAGAGAGCCTTGATGCATTGCTTTCAGTTGCCATCCAATGTGTTTCGTCGAGTCCAGAGGATCGACCAACCATGCACAGGGTGGTCCAGATACTAGAATCTGAGGTTATGACTCCATGTCCAAGTGATTTCTATGATACAGATTAAGCCCTCTATGCTGAGAGGACAGAGAAGACATCCATGCCAATGAAGGCATAGAACCTTAAAAAAGAAACTGTTGAATCAGCAGCAAGGATTAACATCTTCTTCAAGGTTCATGCTCTCTATCTCATCGATTCTTCTTTACTTCTTTCTGAAAATTCATCAGCATTGTGCAGCTTTTGTGATTGAGTTCTAATGTGGAGTAGTAGAACAGCAGCCAGTATCGTTTCACAGAGGATTCAAAAGTTCCATTGGCTGTTTCTCTAACTAACCGGCCCTCAATTTGCGTGGGTTCATTGGAATTAATTCCCCATGCAAATGAAGTTCCACGTCAGTGAATTACTTGTGAGTTTGTTTGTTCAATCTCTCCCAGCTTTTCCCTCTTAAATCATTCGTTCCCTCTGTAATTTTCTGTAACTTTGGACTCTAAATTAAAAATGTATATGAATAATTGTATCATATTCAATGAATGGTCTTTGAGAATATTAGACAACTTGAACATAACTAAACTTATTTAGTTAGGTATATACGAATCGAAAAAAAATATTAGTCTTTTGAAACAATTATATTTATTTATTTGCACCTCGACTAAGATGGGTAGGATTACCATAATTTGAACTCATTTCTTTCGAATCTTTCATTGTTTATATGACTTTTCTTCTGCACCAGGTTCTTCATTTATTTTTATTTCATATTTGCTATTAATATTATTTTTAAAACATTACAAGCCTACAACAGGAAATAGAAGTACCTTGGAAATCTATCTTTAACATTATAAAAGAATAATGATGTGACAAGTACGTTATGTTCCAAACTCCTCAAGAACCTCAAACAAACGCTGAACTCATATCCCCACCAAATTAAAAACATCCATTTCTCTAAATCCTCTCTGAATAGGCCATTTCTATAATTCTTCATACTACCAATGAAATTCTCAATCGAATGTTTCGCCAAATACATTCCTTTCACGCCTCATCAAGGCGACCTTAAGATCTCTCAATAAAATAAAAATCACTTGGTTGCCTACTGGTTTTGGTTCAGTTTTTAAAGCTGATTTGAGAAGCAAATCCTACAAGGGATGAGACAGCTTGATGAACTCTGTCCATCAAGCGATGGTTCGGTTTTTTCTGCATATTCTCAGCGAACCATCGAAAATCTGCCAAAGTAGACTCGGATAAAGGCTCAAGGAACTCACATTTCTCTAAAATGTCGAGCGGGGGTACTCCACCGATAAGGTTCGTATCCAACTTCGGTTTACCTTCAAACAGTTCTTTAGGAACAACCTCTGGACCTTCTATGGAGGCGGGTGACGCACCAGGAACTACCTCCTGCTTGAAAGGCAGTGCTCTAGCAGGCTGCAAGCAAAATTCAATCCATTGGTGGATTAAGGGGGAGGGTCCCTTAACTCTTCCACCAACTGGCTCTGCCTCAATTCTAGAGGTTGCAGGAATTGCCTGAAAAAAAGGAAACATATCTGATATAAAACACACAACACAGTTGCTGAACCTGAACTTTTTAATGAAGAAAATGAGAGTTGTATCATCAGGAGCATTGCCAATTTCTATCCAACCTAGTTTTGAACCTTATGTTTAATTATCCTTAATGCAAAGAAGGCAGGAATATCGATTTGAAGATACCCATAAATCAGCCCATAAGCTTGATCCAGACTTGGGGACGACCACTGCAATATTCGACATGCGTTTGACAACAGGAAGAACATCGCTACTCCATCCAACAGCTACCCAAACGTCCCCAACCGCAAATGCTTTCAGATAGTGTGTGCTATCAAACAAACGTACCTGTGTAAGACGAGCATATAAATGTATAAGTGTACAACAATGGACAAATTACAATGTTTAATAATGTCTGGTGAAATGAGAACTTAAACCGCATCATTTGCCAAATCATTACTACTACACATTTTGAAAGGATTCTTTAAGAAATTTGGGGTCAGTGTCATAACAATTTCGTTTCTAGTTTTGCTTTTGAAAAATGTGCATATAATTTCATAACTATGGTTAACATTTCTTAAATAAACATTCAATTTTTTAGCCAATTTGCAAAACTAAGCTTGAATTTTGAAAATAGAAAGTAGATAACAAAGCAAAGAAACTCATGAGTCGGAATGTTTATAGGCCAAATTTTCAAAAACAAAATACTAAAAAAACAAATGAATATCACTCTAGATAGCTTAAATTTAGGGATAAATTTTCTTTGAAACTCTAGATGGCTTGAATTATTTGTAACTTTACTTTTTTTTTCAGTAGAGGATGATATGTCCTTTTTTGGGTAATATTTCTCTAATTAAAAACAATGTAGTTTTCAAAATAATTTACACATCACCGGAAATCTAAGAGTTGAGCTAGAGCCAGGAGTTTTCTATTATTTAGAGCTAATGGGAATCATTGTAATGGCATTTTCAGGAGGGGGAAAATAACAGTAACTCAAATATAAAGAACCATTCTCAAGGTTCTCAGGAAAAGTCGAGTTCAACTTTTCCACAAGAAAATAAGAAAAAAGATGTTCTACACTTGTTGCAAGCAATAATTAAAAAAAAAAAAAAAAAAAAAAAAAAAAAAAAAAAAAAAAAAAAAAAAAAAAAAAAAAAAAAAAAAGTAAAAAAAAAAAATTGCATGATCATTTATTTGCTACCTGATTGAAACATATCTAACCTGTTTTGAAAGTGAAGTTAAACTTTGCTGAACGGCGTCTTTGCCACCAGGAATTTGCGAGCTAATGTCTTTTGTGTTGTAGGATGCACCCATGTACTTTAAAACAGCACCAATTACTTCTCTAGGTGAATCAACCATTGAAATCCTTCCTCGAAGTTCAGGGCGCCATAAATCCGACCAGTCCTGCAGCAGCAGTGTTAATGCACCTAAGAGTACTTGGGAACGAAATTGCTCTTCAGATAGAAAAGTACGACGTTAAGTTCTAGAACATTTGGACAGAAAATCCAATACGTTTTTTAGCCACAAATGTGAAATACTTGTACACGTAGAACATATGAAACTCCATACCAAATCAGTCATGGAGGACAAAAGTTATCTATTAATAGTTAGTACCTCCATGGGAGCCAAGTTGTTCTTTCGAAATTTGACTTTATTGTATGCTATAACCATGCAGCCCCACCTATATGGAGCCGACCATATTTTACCTCCCGGATCTATTTCACCCTCGGAGTTTCTGCGTAAAAGTACCTGCAACATTGTTAGTGCAAATAAAAGATGCATGTAGTAATATTCTGAATTTGAGGGGATATTTTGACGGGTTTTTTTTATGAACGGTTATGGCTAAGAGACTAGTTGAAATGCACACAAACTATCCAAGACATTCACGGATATAAAAAAGTTTAAGGGTTAGGTCGAATGGGCTACGTGTAGCGATGCTACGTATTGATTTGGTCTCTATATCAGTAGAACATTGCAATATGGCATAATCAACAAAATTCAACTAGATACATAACTTGCCAAAAAGATAAAATTTTAACATATGAAGTTGATTAATATAATAACACGGTTATGTTACAATATTTTTCCAAAACTTAATTGGATTCATATAGTTGATTCGGTGTTCGACACTGCTACATTGAAAACGTTTCATATATTTAGCATGAAAACATTTTGATTAATAAAACAGGTTGACAAATCAATCATCGAAATACTGAAAAGACCATTTACAGTATTACCTTCCATCTAGTGCTTAAGTTATTAAACCACTCTTGGTCTTCCACATCTTGAATGGGCTCGATAAGCGCCTTCTTAATGGCAAAGTTGAGCCACGAATCGCCAATACTAACAAGATCAGCAACCATGACGGATGAATACTTAACCTTGACTTTGTCAATTGGAACAGATAAATCAGAAAAAATACTCCCAAGAGTTCCATTTAACTTCACATTGAATTTTAATCTCTTCCCTTGTGATTGAATAAACTCCTACATGAAAAGATCAATAAGAAATTGTCCCAACTCTGACCAACATTCTCAAAACATTAGGAAAATAATTACAAAAGAACTATTTTCAAAGAGATGTTCATTCTAAAAGGGTGTAACCTTGGGCTTCACTATAAATAATTTAATCCATCAAAACTTTTGAACAAAATAACCTCAAGTTATAACATACTGTAAGACAGAAAAACCATCAAAATTGGGGATAGCCATTGTAGTTCAGATAATTCGGTCCAAATGCGCCTCTCTTCATTATGTCATGATACTATACAACACATCCAGGTCAAAAGGAAGTATTCTTCCTTCCTTCCACGACAAAGAATGTCATCCTTCCCCATCCAAAGAAAGAAGTCATTTGGTCAGTACAAAGATGGGGATCAAGAGAGGCAAGCAAAGCAGACATGAACTGAAGAGTTTTTACATTGGTTTTTAAGAAAGTAAATGGAGTGGTTTAGGAAAATTCAATAAACTAGAGGTGTAACAACCCAAGTCCACAAGGTTTTTAAACGCGTTTGCTAGGGAGAGGTTTCCGCACCCTTATAAAAAATGTTTCGTTCTCCTCCCCAACCGACGTGGAATCTCACAATCCACCCCTTTCAAGGTCTAGAGTCCTCATTGGCACTCGTTCCCTTCCCTAATCGATGTGGACCCCCCAATCCACCCCCTTTTGGGGCCTAGCATCCTTGCCGGCACAGTACCTCGTATCTACCCCCTTCAAGGCTTAGCCTCCTTGTTGGCACATTGACCGGTGTCTAGCTCTGACACCATTTTTAACAGCCCAAGCCCACCATTAGCAAATATTGTCCTCTATGGGCTTTCCCTTTCGAGCTTCCCCTCAAGATTTTTAAACGTGTTTGCTAGGGAGATGTTTTTGCACCCTTTTAAAGAATGATTTGTTTTCCTCCCCAACCGATTTGGGATCTCGTAAGAAGAGCAATTTATCCTACATTTTCTATAACAAGCATCATGATCATTCTGATTTTTTAATAGGACATAGAGCCCAATTTCTTCATCATTCGTGCTTGTTAGCAAGAGTGAAGATAAGAGAAGGAATTACACAAAAGAGAAAGAGAAAGGACCATCTAGCTAGCGAGAAATTACTTGTCGCCACAATGTGGCCGAAAGTTTTTCACAGTGGATGTATAGATACAATTACATAGAATTTAAATTTATAGATATTTATAGACCTAGAAGTCATTAGGAGCATGCAAATTATTGAATCTACATCTGATGGTTATTATGAGACCGCCACAGTTCTTCAAGAATCTTTCCTAGCTAAAGAAATGGCAAAAATCTGGGAACTTAGACGGACCTTAATCCAAGAAGGAGGAATAGAATCACGAAGTGCAATGACGCTCAAAGGAACGGTCAAAGCAAACTTCTTCGACTTCCACTCTTCAAATGCTTCGTCCATTTTCTTTTTCTCCAGCTTCTCATCCTCACCTACACGGCAGAAATTATAACTTCAAAAACAACGAAACCTAGGCCAAGCAAGCCCGATAGTTCAACACAAGCACTCGAATCAAAATTCCGAACAAGTACTTCAAATTCCATAAAACCAAATCTCTAATCGGCACAGACGAAGCAAGTAACAAGAGAAAAATACTCGAGCACTTACACAGAACTACCTTCTCCTCTTCCAAGTTGTAATTATCCGCCACCGGAGGAGGCACCGGCGAAAGAGCCGCAGAGCAGGATCGAGCTCCGATGCCGAAACCAATATTTAAACCGAGAAAAACAACCGCAGATGCGGCGAGGCGAAGCGGTGGCGTATGGGGAATTACCGGAATCTTACCTTGTTCGGATGCCTCCGGCGAATGCATCTGAGTTATCGAGCAACAGCGGAAATTGGTGGTGTACTTGGAAGTGAAAGTAGAGGAAGAGGATGAAGGATTCGGGCAGCCACATTGCAGTGGCAGAGAAAGCCATGAGCCGGAGGGCAGCAATGCCGCCATTCACATAGAGCGAGCTCGAGTCTGTCGATCACTTGCCGCTTAACATTTTATGGCCTGTTATCTCGTTTCAATTTCTCCAATTAAATAAATACAGAAATATAATATTAAATTGTATTTAAATTCACGGTGAAATGAAATACTCTAATCCTTTACCAATAATAATAATAATAATTAAATAACATATTTATTTCTTTTACCTTTAAAATTTATATCTATTGCATTCTTCAAGTTATAAATTAAATTTAAAAAAAGTAAAAAATTAAATTAAAAATAAGAGTTATAAAATTTAAATTAATATCTATATTAAAATTTTTGAATTTATCAGATAATTTATTGAACACAAAATTAAAAATATTTTATCGGTTGCCAAACTCCGTTATCCAATTACTTTGTTGTATAGTAAATTAGGTATCAGATTTTCATGTTTAAATTTAATTAAAAAATTTGTATCTTGTATCGTTGATAAACTCTAAAAAAGAAAAATACAAATAATTTAAATAATCAATACAAAATGAACTATAATTACTAAAATAATTTTATAAATAAAATTTAATAAAAACAAAACGAAAAATAAAAGTAATGATGAGTGGCTTGGGCCTTTAAGATGTAACATGGGCTTGGACACTTACGTGGGCCCATTACAATTATTCCTAATTAATTACTTGATATTCTTAATATTTAATAAAAATATATTAGAAGCTTTAACATTTTATTAATTTTATTTATAAATTATTATTTTTAGTCCCTTAAACCTTAAAATGCCCGTTTTGTAGTTTTATCTTATAAAAATATAATTTTTTTTTGAAAGATTAGAAATATAATGCTTACGTCCTCATAAAAATATGACTATACATAACATGTACGTAGTTCATCGATAATTGACATGTACTATCGGAAGTCCAAAAAAAGCTCTTTACTAAAATTCAATCATATAAATTAATATTTGTAATATGCATAAACCCGTGTTTTAAGAAACACGACTTAGCTCGATGTCATATATAAATTGCATCCAAATAAGAACATACTTCAAAACAATAACAACAATAAATATGTCTAAATTTCAAGATCTTGGTTTACAATTATGGTCGACTTTGATCGATCACAGGAATCAGTTCGAGTACGTAGGTAACTTCCTAAGCCTTTAGATTAAAGAAACAATATGAAGAAAAAAAATGTGGGAGAAAATTAGAATTGGTGAACCAATAACTTATTCCATTGTGATTTCAAAGTCAGCTCCAATTGGAAGATGATCACTTGGGTAGCTAAAATTGGGTAACCCTCCAATGACCTCTGGGCATTCTGATTCAGGAAGCTCTAGAAGGCTAATGGGTCTTATAGAGTCTGAAGGTGAGAAGAATATATAATCAAGAGTACCGGTGAAGCCAGGAGTGAAGTTTGTAAATGACGGTTCTCTCCCTAGTGTAGTAGCATACACACTACTAAGGGGCAATGGAAGCTCTTCCAAGCATTCAGGCGATAATTCAGAAGAAGATTTGCCAGAAACAAGGCATTGGTATACCTAAATAATTATGAGAAGTAACAAATGTTAGGCTTTCAACTTTTTAGGGGTAAAAACGGAAGTGTGTTAAATACCGACGATGTTATGGATTTTTTAGTATGATATTGTTTTAAAACTAAATTACAAAAAATTGAAATAAAAGACATTTGTTTAACAAATGTGTCTGAAGGTCGTTCTTTCGGACTTAATCTACGTGAGTGTCTTAGTCATCACTATGTGTTCTAGGTCGACTGCTACGTCGATTTCATGTTAACATTCTAATAAATTTCTACTTTATGACAGTTTTAAAACGTTCACGAAATGTAAAAGGTCAGGTTTTCGGAAAAAATATAAGGTAGAGGTGTATGAGATTATCTAGCCTAATTTTCTGTGTGTGTTTATGCCATGTAGCCTTGTTAGCCTATGTTCTAATATCACTAACCAATCACTAACCAAGAAAGAACTCATACTCAATACTAACTACAGTTCAATGGACAAATACCATTTTTTTTTTTTTCAGAACAAGAAAACGTTTTGCAAAAGATAAATCGAGATAGATAACAAACCTTATCCCCTGGGGTTGAATTGAAGTCGCCAGCCAAAAGTATCGAGGGGGTGCATTCGAACTTCTCAGATACTAATGTTTTGAATCGAGCTAGGCGTGATAGAAGATATTTGGCCTGGGCGAGCTTGACATCAGCCCATTCTGGATCCCTGTAATAAAATACACGCTTTTGTTACATATTGGGTGGATAAGGTGTTGTTCAATAGAATAGGTCCCAAAAGTAAAAGTAAAAGTAAAATTTTACCAGTAAAGATGGGTGTTTGCAACGATTACCACATGATGAAAAGGCTTCTTGAGTCTGAAAGCAGCCATAATTCCGACACAATCACGTTTCAGTCTCACACGGGGATCGTTAGGATCCCCACGATCCGCTAGTGTAGTTTTTGGTGATGAACCTAAATTTACGTATTTGAATTAGCTACTAACGGCCACGACAAAGCTATATAAAAAACTTATCGCCATTTGTTTTGTGTTTTTTTTATATATAAAACGAATTGGAGACAGAAAGCAACAGAAATAAACCATGGATAATGCTCATACCAATTCTTCCTCAGAAATACAGAAGAGGCATATAACTCATTTTCTTTCATGATTTGTCATCAACAACTTCTCATGCTATTACTTTCCTTTCAAGACTCTTCATGAAGAGGTAGACTAAGCTAAAATAAGAAATGTCATTCATCATCGGAAGTGTGAGATCCCACATCGGTTGGGGAAGAGAACGAAACATTTTTTATAGGGGGTGAAAACCTTTCCCTAACAGACGCGTTTTAAAAACTTTGAGGGGAAGCCCGAAAGGAAAAGTCCAAAGAGGACAATATCTGCTAGCAGTGGGTTTGAGCTATTACAAATGGTATCGAGGATTCTGAGCCCCGGAGGGGGTAGACACGAGGCGGTGTGCCAGCAAGGACGCTAGGCTCCGAAGGGGGTGGATTGGGAAGTCTCACATCGATTGGAGAAGGGAACGAGTGCCAGCGAGAACGCTGGGTCCTGAAGGGGGGTTGGGGATTTTGAGATCTCACATCGGTTGGGGAGGAGAATGAAACATTCTTTATAGGGGTGTGGAAACCTCTCTAGCAAACGCATTTTTAAAACCTTGAGGAGAAGCCCGAAAGGGCCAAAGAGAACAATACGTGATAGCGATGGGCTTGGGTAAAAGATTGGGACTGGACTACTGGGAATTTCCGTTTGTCTCCCTAAGAGATAGTTGGTTGGAACATGGAAGGGCTAAACACTTGGAATTTGAAAGAGAAAGCGATCGTGGCTGGATGTTGCCTTCAGAGCGCTCTTGTGGCACTTGTGGAAAGAGAGAAACGCTCAAGCGTTCGAGGACAATCTATTTTTTTGTAACCTCGTACAAATTAGTACTTTCACAGCCTCTTCATTTGCAATGCATACCCCTCTGATGTTTCTTATATAAAAAAAAAATAATAATAACAATAATTGCTACAATAAGGAAGTTACCCTTGCTTGATTCAACATCGTGACTTGCACTGTTCTCTTCACAAGAACAATCATCATCTTGCATGGAGTTTACAAGATCATTGTATTCAATTCTATCTTCTATGATCAACTCAGCACTGAAACCGTTGAGGAAATAAATGTTACACAAGATGCAGATTATAAGGAGATGCAGATTAAAATTTTCTTTTTTTAATCAAAGATATAGGTAAGATGATAGTAGTGTCTGCAATAAGAAGCTATTTTTCTTTAAGAAAGAGTAAGATTTAAAAAAAAAAAAAAACAAATAAAAAATAGCATACTTTTCACGCTTGAAAAAGATCCCACATCCATCACGCTTCTGCCCGCTTCTCTGAATATATAAGCTGGAATATCCACATCTTTCCAAATTTCCATTGTAAAAGCTATCATATTCATCAACTTCCTGGGCAGTTTCACAAAAATTATGTGCTTAATTAGAATTTTGAATTAAGGGAAAACATTAGGAGGAGGAGCAGTTATAATGAGCTTCAGTCACTCTTAATTCAAATAATTCAGGTCATCTATAAATGTTCCATGCAAGTACTTCAGGTTTTCAACTTGGATTTTTTATTCTCTTAAGATAAGATACGAAATGGAATTACAAGAAACAATACATGTTTAGTAACAACGCTGTCCACTTGCTCAAAAATCTACCTCTTTCAACGGGGTACTTCACCGATTTTCGTTGCACGTTATAGACAACCTTCACAGCTTCGTCACAAGACACAATTAAATTTTTTTTTTTTCTAATTTAAAAAAATTAAGAAAAAAAATCAGTGCAACATAACTGAAAAGCTTATATCCCAATATCTTGTGCAGTGCAACATAACTGACCCAGAATTACTTTTACAAGACTTAATGGTTTAAGTTTATAGCACATTTTGAAGCCACTACATATGGATGTGTAAACTAAGAGATTTCAATCCTTTTTAACAGAACAATCTAAATTACACTACAAGTACACTTTGTTGCTGCACTGACATCTTGTGAGTTTGGTACAATGTACAATCTCAGTTTTCTCATTGCCTTGCAATTCTATTTCACACTAAATGCCTTTACATATTTCAATTGAGATAGAGAAAGAGAGAGATAGAGGGTCAAACCTGTAGACAGAGAAAATCGGCCTCAAGATTCTTAAGAACTGCTAAAATCGCCTGCGATCGAGCTTTCCACCTGTAAATCAGATATTAAACCTACTACAAGTTCAAAAATATGAACGAAGAACAGCTTGCTTTTTTTGGCTCTATAATAGAAGTTATTACAATTCTCACAATCCCAACTGTTCTTACCCTTTGCTATCAGAAATGTGTAAAAAAGACCAAATCAACCATAAAACAAATTAACATTCTAAGTTCAACACTGAATCTGTCATCCAGCATGAGAACTGGATATCAAACAATACATATTAAATGGTACAGGATGTTAGCCATTATGATAGAGGGGAAAATGAAGGAAGCATAGCACCATTTGCGGCATCACTTTCCACCATACCTATCCACTGTGCCTTAATAAAGATTAAAAAAAAATCCCAATAATCAGTTGATAAAAATTAGGAAATAAAAAAGATATATACCTAAGGCAAGAGGATGGAGAATGTGGAAAAAAAGAACTCTTCACATAGACCTACAAAAGAAATACAAAAACAATGGTTAATATGCAATGTGATCTGATATCTTAAAACAAAATAAATTAGTCCAATTGAATATACTAACCAAAAAAAATGAACGCTATCCTGTCATTGAATATGTCATAAGATTCATATGCTACAAAAGATGGACTTCCAAAAGTTCCAGCCATTGGCATTAATTATCTTTGACCGATATGCCAAGAAAATATATGAACCTTATCTACGGTTAGCACTTTTCATGAAAAGTAGAGTCCAAAATCATCAAGGAAAACGAGATATATTCAATAATTTCAACAGTATAACAAATGCATAAAAATATAAAGAAAGTTGCTTGAATCCACGAAGAACTAGAATTATGTTCATACACATTGATGCAAAATCAACCCACTTCTGCTTATATACTACTCACGGGAACAAGAGGTTTTTAAAAACAACATTATTGGATGGCATGGCAAGAAGCATAAAACTGAACTAAAGAATAAAAAATGAAATGAATCAGAAAGTGTCACCCACCTGCGCTAAAATATTGTAAGAAACGAAACGAAATCTGATACCTGCAGTAGCAATATAGAAATGCCAATTTTAGATAACGTACAAGTATCAAAAAAGATGTTTAAATGAGATAAATCTATCAACATACACTGTTCATTCGAAATATAAGAACCTACAAGTCTAATCTAACCAAATGGCCAAATCCAGAGCAGGAAAAACATGATCATGACCAATCAAAATCGCCATTTCCATTCCATCAAAACCACGGGAATAAACATACCGTCAGATTTACTTCTTGAGTAAATGTCAGCCCCTTCCACAGAGATAAACTTCGGATGTTTTAGTGCTTGTACTCCACTCATGTTACGGACAATATTTCTGCCAGTAATAGAACGTATAAAGAAGAAAAACATGAGCCAAAGCGAATAACAACTCAAAACAATTACTCTGAAAGCATCTTAAACAATTACTTAATCAAAGAATTTTCAAAACATGGAATGTTGTTTTGTTGAACACAACTCTCTTTGTGGGAAACACTCGCAATTTTTATTGAGACCAATCGAGAAGAGAATACAAGACACTCTCTTGAGAATACTATTACTTTTTATTGTTTTTGGATTTCTTGGATGAATAACCTAGGTAGGGTGGAGGGTATTTATACTAGAGCCTACGCAATTTAGACCTAACGAATCTAAATCTTCCTCCTAAAATCTCGAGATATCTTTCCTAAAATCTCTAGGCTCGTATTGGACTTGACTCTATTGGGCTAGTGATGATATTTCAACATGTTTTCCATTCTAAACTCACTGCAGTGAAAATTAACCATACCATTCTTGATTCCATAAAAATAAACAGCTGATTGGAAACAGAACAACTCCAGAAGCAATAACCTCACTCTTATCATTTCACTATGACTCCCTCGGCATCCTTCAACCAATAATCGTAAGTAGAAACAAGAGGAACGCTAATATTTTCGTCCATCACTCAAAAACTCTCAAACGCAAAAACAAAAACAAAATCAACTAGGTCATGCTCCCAAAAAACTCCTAAATCGGTGCGTTAATCCGCAGTGGCTTCGGAAGCGGATATAGTCGATGAAGGATTAGTACTACAATCAATTCACTACCATAACATAATGCGAAAGTAAATTCGAGCTTCAGAGAGAGAGAGAGAGGAAATTACCTGGTTATAGCGCGAAGGGGAAGCTGAGGGAGAGAGAAGAAAGCTGCAAGCATAATAGTTGAGTTGAGGAAGATCGTAAGAATATATATGTATGTAGAATGGATGGATTAGATGGAGGCGGTGGAAGCCGAAACAAGAACGGGCAGCTACCCGAATTTGTGTTTCATGAAACACTTAGAATAACCGATGAGGTCAATTGTAGCAGCCAAAGGCTTTGGTAGATCTTATATATATATATATATATATTTGTATTTATGAATTTGTAAATTTTTATTTAAAAATTTACATCTAAATAAAAATAAAAACAAAAATTTAAAAATAGACCCAAAAAAAAAAAAATCTAAATATTTATTTAAAACAAGGTTTGATTTTATTTTTTAATATTTCAAAACCTATTTGAATAGGCTCTTATAGTTTTACTTTGGGCTTCCTAAAAAGCCTCGTACCATTGTGGGGAGTTGTGATTCCTAACATGGTATCAGAGTCATGCTCTAAATTTAGTCGTGCCAATCGATTGGTAAATCCTCAAATGTCGAATAAAAGACTCCAAAAAGAAAAAGAGTCAAATGTCGAATAAAAGAATTCGACTCCAAAAAGAAAAAGAGTCAAGCCTTCTCGAAGGCACGAAGGCAGTAAAAAATGACTAAGACTCCAAAGGAGTTGAGCCTCGATTAAGGGGAGGCGTGCTTTGTTCGAGAGGAGGTGTTGGATGATGAAAGTCTCACATCGGCTAATTTAGGGAATAATCATGGATTTATAAACAAAGAATACTCTTTCCATCGGTATAAGGTATTTTGGGGAAGCCCAAAGCAAAGCCATGAATGCTTATACTCAAAGTGAATAATATCATACCATTGTGGAGAGTTTTATCAACAAACACTTATAAATTTACCTTAATTATCAACAAACATGCAAATGTAAAGATGTGTCCTTTTAGTATGTCACGAGCCCAAATATTACCATACAATTGTAAATAAAAAGTTCGGGGAAAAATAATCAAATAAGTAAAAATAAAAATAAAATTATTTATTTAAATGAAAAAAAAATAGTTATAACCCACTAACATATGGTATAAATAGACCAAATTGTAAAAAATTTACAAAATTTAGAGTTAAATTGATACGGTAATTAATTTGGGGTAATTAATTTGGAGTATCACTTTTATTGTTAAATAAATTAAGTAAGTACTTATATGTTGAAATTTGAAAATGCTAATTTATAATTTAGTAAACACAAGCGTTTGTGAAATTTGAAAATGCTAATTTTATTCAGACTTGCATTCTTTTCATTAGAATAATATCCAACAAAATACCAAATATCTCTTCTTCAAACAACAAAGTTAACCCGAGCATAGCTGAGCTAATTAAAAGTAAAAATGATAAAATAATACTCTTATTTACGAGACAAAAATAAGAAACTCGATATCGTTTCTATGCGATGAAAAACGAGAATCAAGAACAATTACCTCTGATTAATTAGGAAAAAAAAATTATCAAATGACCATTTAAATTAAAGGGGATAAAAGAAAGAGAAAACAAGAGGTCTTGTGGTTAATCAAGAAGTTCTACAAAATCTTTCGCCCATAATTGAACGTAAGGGCAAATGTTTAAACAACAAAGATGAGAAAAGGGGTATAAAAATCTCTCGTATGACTATAAGTATAACGAAGTAAAACATGATAATGTGAGCATAGCTCAACGATAATTGAACTGTATTTCTTTTTTCAACCTCCGCTCTCTTAGTACTAAAAAAATGTATACGTTACAGAACCAAGTGCAAAAAGATGGATCAATGAGGAAAAATGAAAACTCCACCTGGAGTATTGAGGCCTCTCCCATTTATCTATGAGAATCGCAATAATGAGGAAATTTGCACCGGCAAGGATCAGTTCTCACCTACAAGAAGATAAATGTTTCCCCTTTATTCAACCATGTGAAGATAAGATGAAATAAGAGATCAACTTTTAGACTACATAAAATGATAGAATTTTGCATAGCATCCCTACAAACTCGAGGCAGACGAGTAGCGATTGGTCATGCGATACGTTCACCATATCTTAGGCAATGGGTTGAGATTTTCAACTTTGAAGCATGATTTAGTCATTCCATTCACATACATTTCAACCAGATTCCACACATTCAGTTCCATTATTATAAAAAAGTCTCCAACATTATAAACCGGGGTGGCCAAACAGGCGTTTTTGTAAGGCACAAATAGCACTTCAAGTGTAACGAGTTTCTCGATCGTCTCGAGAAAAGAGGCAAGAGGTGTCAGCTGAGTAAAGCAATAAGCATCTCACTTGTATAATCGAAAAACCGTGCGCAAAGAAAGTCTTTGCAATTGCAGGAATGAAAAGGTGATAGAAAGATTCAGGGTGAAAAAAATAAGGAAAATCCCTCTTTATGGGAAGAGAAACTTAGATTTGAATATAGCCTTAATGTGGATTATGCTGAAAAATAGGTTTCAAAAGGCTGTTAATGTACCCTTTGTGGCTATGATTGACTTTGTGGTTCCGTGACCTATATCCTATCAGATGAGCTTCAAAAAGCTTCCATGAGCCAAGCACCTCTTTGAGGACTTGAATCTATAGATTGAGCAAGAACAGGTTTAAACTAAAGAGGCGGGAGATTATTCGAACTCGAATGGGGGGGAAAGAAACGACCAGAAAGCTGGCGTTTTTAACTCTAAGCTTCCTCTCTTTACTGTTGTACTAGCCATTGTCATCACGAACATTATGATCGTGGAGACAGAAAAGCAATCATGGTCCATCTCATGATCAAATTCATGGCTAGCAAAGCAAGAGGCATGCACCTCTGACCATAGCCATGCCCCCTCAATATTCATCGGTTAAACTCGAATAACGTGGTTTAGTGATATCATCCAGTTTAACATATGCACTTATAAAGCTTTAGAATTGCCATGAGGCAGGATAACTGCCGTCTTGACATCATGAATAATAGATGCAGGTAAGTTAGGCTCATCATGTACGAGACGAACGGAAAGAACATAAGCATTAAATCTACTCACCTTGCGAAACGTAAAAGAAACCCTCCTAGGACCCCTTCTGATTGCACTGTCCTTCACCATGTCAATCTATTACAGAACATTTACACAATTTCAACTTCATAAATGAGAGTAGAATGTATAAGTTCACAGTTCCTTCAATTCAATAGCTAAGTGATAATGTTATTCGACACATAAACGTGCTTACACCCATGGTATCTAGCCTGGTTTACCCTCAATCTATCCAACAAGAACACAATTTAAACCACTACAACATTTGAAATAAACAAGACTATGAGAATATTATTATCTTTGTAGATAACTATCAAAGTAATACAAAGAAATCCAAATGTGTAACTCATCCTCAACCATTGGCCCAACTATTTGAAAATAAACTACAAGACCCCTTCATAGCTGTTAACATGTATAAACAGATAACTCTACAGATTTCGTAAATCGACCGTACTAAAACAGCAATTGTTCATGGACGATCTGATATACCTTGTGGTGAGGAATGTAATGATGCCAAGCATAACGTGCCTCGCCAGACAGTAGGAGCATAGACCGAGGTGGAAGGTAAATGGCTCTCCTCAGATAATTTGAGTCGTTTACTGAATTCTCCATTTTCAAATCTATACTTGAAGGGCATTTGTGCCAAGTGCCTTCGGTATACCTCCTAAACTCCATAATGCATGGCCCTGCTAAGGAAAGGCTGAAGATTAATCCTTCAAATGCAGAATGGGTGTCTATATGAGGAGACAAACCCACCCCAGGTGGGTATTCATTAACCTGTAATGTGGTATTGATTTCAGTCTCGTACTAAACATGACAACAACTTCAGATAGCATAACAAACAAGTTTAGAGTAACTCATCAAAAACACAGTGCATACAGTCAATTGGTCAAGAACAGCATCTGCAACATCCTCAGCGTTTGGAAACATGGAGATCCGATCAACTACATGGGAAACAAATGATGGAAGTCCGCCCAACTGATGTTTAGTATTAACATTTCTCGTCTACAAAAAACAAACACAGACAAAACCAACTGATTTTCAGTAATCACGAGTCCTGTCGTGGCAAAATCATTCAGTACAACAGACAGGAGGAATAAGGATAAGGCAAAAAGTTCTGCCACTTACTTGATAGCAAAATTCATATCCATAATGCTGAACTCTACGTTTCGCCAGATTATTCCAAGGCCGAGCATCAACTTCCAAGAGCAATTCCTGCAAAAGCACGAAAAATCATAAACAAAGGGGAAAAAAGGTCGAATCCTTTGACAGTACTCATAATCTAACTAAAACGCTCACCTCCTCTTCTTTAGCAGTGACGAAGTCGTGCAATAGGTAAAGTCCAGGAATGTTCAACTCCGAAGCCGACAAAGAAACTGAAACAGAATCGTTAAGCTGCGAAATGGATGGCCTGATGATGGAATAGCGTATGTGCAAAGTCCGGCCTCCGAGGAGAGGGCAAGGGCGGCCGTGTAGCGCCTCAAGAGCGGCTCGGGCGCTGGATTCTTCGGAAAAGCATACAATGACGCGAGTGCCGGTCTCGTCAGCTGCGTGAACCCCTTTCACGTCCCCAAAATCGCCAAAAACCGCCGCAACTGTCCGGTGGCTGATTCCGACGGCGGGTCCACAGTTTGCAACGTAGAGATTAGGGCTAGAAGACGAAGATCCATTCTCTCCCCTTGGACGGGCGAATCTTGGCAAGTCCATTTGCGGGGAAGAGTTGGCGGGTGAATGCGATTTGGGTTCCCGGCAGCCAAGTTTTTTATTTCAGTATTTTTCTTAAATTTTAAATTTAAAAATAAATAAACAAATTACCTATTTTGTTCTTAAAATTGAATAAGATTACTCTGTAATTATTGAATTTAAACAAATGTTTTAAATCATAATTAAGTTAAAATTTTAGGTATATATCTATTAATACCTAAATTATCAATTTTATATAAAAGTATTTATCAGATTAATAAGCTTTTGATTTTTTATTGTTTAATAAAAAGTTGACATTTAATACAATTAATAAATCTATAATCAGTCAAATTAACTCTCAGATTTTATTTTGTGTTTGAATAAATTAATAATTAAAAATGATTAAACTTTTAATTTAACATCTTGTTATACTAAAAATCCATCATTAACTATTCCAAATTTCTTGTTTAGGTCTTGTAAATTAAAAAAATAATAATAAGAATAATAAGAATTACATTCTCAGTCAGCAAAACTATGTTTAATATTTAATTTTGAATTTTTAGAAATTAGAAGGTTGTCTTATATTCTCCGTTATAAAATAATGTTTTACATTATTATATTAAAATTTATTTGAAAGAAATATTTTGTAAATATATATAAAGAAATTGTAAAATTTTCATGCAACGAAGGGTCAAACTTTCAGTAGAGCAACAACTTAGGATAACGAACTTGAAACAAGGAGACGGAGCAGGCAACGAGCGAGTGGTTAGTGGCTAATAGCACTTAGTTGATGACATTCCTCTCTACGGCTGGCACTCCATACAAAACAAACAAGTCTTGGGGATGAAACGTCCATGCAACCGTGTGGACAAAAAGTGCACAAAAGGAAAAGAGGTCCTCATGCAGAGTCACATAGCTCACCACCTATTATAATCAAAGGAAATTGGAATAACATTGGTTCTTTCGATAAATTGATGCATGAGCTGAGGGCTTTCACCCTAGGCTCGAGTCTTTATCCCATGAAAAATCCCTCAAAAAGATAAATAGAATAACACAAAACTATAAATATACTGTGCTTTTTAAACTTTACAGTCAATATACAATGAGTTCAAAATATGTATGCTTCTGATTCCCAGAGGAACAAAGTTTTGATCTCAATCTCAATCCCAATGGATATGTGGTGACTTTCATGTACACAACACAACAAAATGCAAGTGTCAATGTACCTCAAAAGGCTATGGTGACTTATTTCCAGATGAAACACTCCTACAAACCTCTCTCCCCATGCACCACGATGTTTGGTTTCGGCTCGGACTTGCAGTCGGAGAGTTTCCTCTGACTTGGCAGGCTGAGAATGTCATATTGGGATGACTGTTCGGGTGGCCGATAAGTGGCTGCCACGCATGGAGAGCAGACATGTGATCCCTGCAATTGTTCAACAGACTCATCCCTGGAAAACAACATGGTGCAGGTGAATTTGGGTTGTTGCACATAACATCCTCTTGTAGAACATCTGCAATTCTAGAGAGTATGATGTACGCCAAGTTTCCGAGCACCCGTGAATACGCTTCCAGAATCAAGTGCCCAACGTCCTATGAAATTCAAACAGAAACTGAAATGATTTCTGGTTTTAGTGTGTCAACGAGAACAAAACTCAGAGTCCCAACATACTATGCTTTCGGGTTTATTACGACTTATTATTATTATTGTACTCAAAACTACCATCCAACAAAGATCTCAATGTAAGATTTCGTACTGTAATAAAAGAATCTAGTTATCTAAAAAGGCGACGTAATATACTGACTGACTCGACGAATAATGAAAGCAGAAAGAACACATACCTTCCCATATTGGATTTTTGAGATATCTAGAAAGGTTTGAGGATGATTTGGATATTTTGATTTCAGTAGCTGTAGAAGAATATCGGCTCGATAAGTGAGTAATTTCGACTTATTCATACCAGCCATTTTGTCCTTGACAAAAGGCCAGGAAGTTCGAACTGGAGATTTGTTGCCACTTTGTTCGGTGTATTTCTCTTTCAAGGTGAATATTGCAGCTTCGAGGCGGTTTATAGCCTCGAGGACTCCATGGTCGGATTCTAGATTAAGCTGATTCAGCATGTTCTCGGCTGGACCAGATTCTGATATCAGAATCTTGTAAAGTTCTTCACCGAGGTTTGCTTTTCCAGACTGTTCAATTCATGGTAGCCAAAAAAAATTACACATATATTCAGATTTGCCAGGTTCAACATATTCATGCAATACTCACAAGAAGCGTCATTTTTCTTTAAAAAAAAGTATAACATTACAAATGTAAGAGCGGAAATGCGAAAGCCCACCACTAACAGATATGGTCCATTTTGGCCTGTTATGTATCGTCGTCAGCCTCACAGTTTTTAAAATACGTATGTTGGGGAGAGGTTTCCACACCCTTATAAGACATGCTTCGTTTCCCTCCCAACCGATGTAGGATCTCACACGATATTTCAACCATTGTATGCTCAATTTTGCGAAAATTTTTGTAGTATGAAATGAAGGAGTATAAAGATAAGAACTCATGGATGGTTCTTAGCTGATAGAATTGTATTCTATAAGTGAATAGAGAATACTCACAGCTCGGACTGCCTCCCTTATAACAGTTGGTACGGGCATTTGACACAAAATGCTTTCATTGATGGATTTGGCAGCTTTGAATACTTGATGTACAACTCGGCCATGGTTGAGCAATTTCTTCCTCTCATTCTCAGATAGTCCAGTGGATGGTACTCGTGGTAATGGAAGCCACCACCTCATGCTTTGGTCCATACTCTTGCTTCTTCCTTCAGCCCTGCTACCAACTTCTGCATACCAAAACTCAGTCTTCGCCATTGAATCCAGTGTTCCCTGTAATAATAGAAAACAGCATATAATTCAGGCAGATGAGCTATAATTTAAGCAAGTACGGATGGTAATTAGACCACCTACAATTAGAATGGAATCTAACTTCTGGAGAGCTGGAAGATTCACGTGGACATCTCCCCGAACCTTCGGAGTCATTATCTACAGAACATTTGTGCACAAAATCGCATTAATATGAGATTCAAAAACATGTTTCCCAGTTCTAGTTGCAACTAAATCACAACTAACCTCCATTACTCTACCGCTCGTACCATTTTGCTTTGTAGGAACCAATTCAACCATATAGTGAGTAGGAGAGAGCAACCAGTTCATTTCCCTTCTCCATTTACTCTTCCTCTCCTCAGGAAGAGGTTCCAATTTCCAGAATTCTCCAAAAACCGAGGCTGCAAAACCTTAATATTATTTTGAGGTGGAGACGAGGAATGGATGGCAAGTACATGACATATTTAAGCAAAAGGGTCCACTATGATGAAATAGAAATGCAATTTAATGTCTACCGGCTAGATTGTTGATGGCATTAGACAGTGACAAGGCAGAGCTGAGCCCTTTCTGCCCTCCTGTGACATCTTCACCAAGCAATAGTTTTGTGAACTTTTCTTTCATTGCTTCCACGTCTGAATCCTGAACGGTGTGATCATGTTTCTCTTTCATGTATAATTTCTGAGGGCTTTCTGCTAGTCCCCACTCATCCAAATCCTGCTCGTCCCTAGGCATTGCCAACCATTTTGAGGAGAAAGATCCACAAGCATCCTTGCTAGAAGAACAGCTTGAATCATGATCCTCCAATGAGTCAGTTGTACCTGATCCGCTTTCATTTTCATAGGTTTGATTGTTTAAAACGCAACTCTCAAGACCATTAAAAATCATAATCCCTGAATCCCACGGAAAAATTGTTTGTCAATAATAACTTTAGGTTATATTACATTTAAGCAAACAAAAAAGCGAGCAATCAAGAGGAGAGTTCTTTTGTATTCTCAAGTTAATTATGAAGAAGAAGATACAAGATAAAGACACTTGTCTAAAATATCAAAGCAGTATGATTAATTTGCTGTGCTCATAATTACTGATGTGAAGACATACACCTCCTAAGGCTTTCTAATATAGTGTATCGTGGATCTTCCTCGGGAAAAAAACTAATTAGGCTTCCAAAATCCACCAATTATGGATCATTCCTTCTGTTGTTGAAAGTTTTATTATGTGATCATCTGATGAATCTAGGGATCAAAATTTCGACATTCAATGTTTTTTAGCTCCTTGCGGGTAAAATATTGTTCACGAGGGAATCAGACATGAGGGCTAAATACTAAACAGGAGTTATTGGCCTGAGTTAGCGGCAATTAGGGATTGGTTAATGGGCACGACCTTCACTGGATTCTCATGTGGATCTTGCCCATTGGAAATGAAAGGAGAAACGACAAATGACAGGTCCCTGTTCTAGAAAAATTGAATAACGGGGAAAATTTACCCATGCTAGTTCTAGACAAGCAGATGCGAATGCAAAAGCAACTCTTCTAAGAATAATTAGGACTTCGCATTTACACAAACTGTAGAACAATTACGTTCTACAAATTTTAACTATTTATAATGACTTTCATCAGAAAATGAACAGCCCAAACGAAAGCAAAAACTTTTGTAATTATTGTTATTTGGACCCTAGTTAGATATTCTCATACTACTTCCAAGAAAGAATACGACCATCCAGAACTGCTCCAAAGCCAACTGGCTCAAGTCACACCGCAAAGTTGGTCTTTTCTGGCAATTTGGATACTTGTCTTAAGGTATGTGATCTTCTTCGCCCAAAAATTTGTCCTCTTCGTCTGGCATGTTGGAAGCTCAATAATCACTAAAATTTTACATCAATTGTCCTTCTTCGCCCATTTTTTTTTTTTTTTTTCCGTCTACCTGAGCTATATTTTCGAAATTATTTTTACACCCGCTGAGCCATCCGTGGAAAACTGATAAATAGGAAGCCGAAGAAATCTAAATTCACGGAGTTCTCTCCTGGACACATCACTCATGTGCTAAGCACGAACAAAGTCAAATGGACCAAGGGCTGTTATCTTTAAAACAGAGCCCGGAGGGGATCAATTAGGGTCCACAGCAGAACCAAAAATTTTAAGCTTTTGGCACGATACGTAATCTGTGCTCAAAATAACCATGGTATTCAAAGAAATAACATTCTTTTCTGGAAAGAAAATAGAGGAAAACTAATAGAAAAGGCTAAACTTCAATCTTTAGCTTATTTAATCCCTTGGCTAGTAATATCTTAAATTACTATATTAGAATTAGAATCACATGATCATCCTTTGATCAAGGATTTGGATGGTCCCAAGCAGCCAATCTGAGCATAACACGGTAAATAAAGCTCCAATCACCATCTCAAAGATCGATGATTTAGTCCACACTCCCACTATTGTAAAACAAAAAGAAGAAGAAGACTACCATAATAGCCCATGAGATTTTACCAAATGAATTAATAAATTTTCTTCCTCAATTACTATAGTTTTTGCAGTTTTTTTTTTTTTTTTCTTTGGAGTTCAACATATTGGGGTGGGAATAAGTACAATATTCCCTTATTCATCGTGTACATGCTCCGAGTGTACCTTACCAAATCCCTCAATGTCCCATAGTTTTGAAGTTGCACTTTATGTAAAAATAAATAAAGAAATAAACTCAATGAAGCATTTCTCCTACCCAACAAAATCCTGAATATTAAAATCTCTTCGTCAATCCAAACATAACTCAACTGATAAGATCTCTCTCTCAAAACTTGAAGGTTCAGTCTCCTCTTCAACACCCACTGAAGTTGAAATAAAAAAAAATTAAAAAAAATGAAGAGCAAAAGAAAATAACACAACCCCCAACAGTCAATGCATAGCACTAGAAACCCACACGTTTAATAAATACTGCTTTACGTGTTTTGATGTCCTCAAGTATAATAAATACTGCGCTCAGAATCATAACTGAAGGCACCAGAACTTGCAAGGGTCTAACCAATGAGTCAGGCTAATAAGAGACAGGGGAGAACTTGGTAGTAATATGTGCCTACTGACCCATCGTTTCCCTCGAGCCCCCTTAATTTCTTTACCAACCACACCAAGCACGTTCTTTACTCTCTACCTGGCCCACCGTCCTCGCCCCCTTTCTTTTCAACTTCGCCATAGCCTTTCTTTGCAATAAAGAAATTGGAAGGGGAAAAAATCCTTTGTAGCATGTGGACGTTGTGAGTGTATTTCAAAATGATATAGCTAGTCAAACCTGTACGAATAAAAAATTGTCCCAGCAGCAAGTGGAGTTATTTCTAATTTTTTAAATTCAAATCCATGGTAGCTACTCCTTTAATTAACAGTGAGATTTATGTACTAAAATCTAGCAGAAGCCAAAAGTAGTAATAAAATTGAATTTGATGCTTTTATAGGCAAGTAGTACTCATGCGTGAAACAGTAAAGGAAGCTAAGACTCACTCTCTTGCTCGTCCATGTCCAGGCTGACTCCTCGGTCCCTTGTGCAGCAAGCCAGGCTTCTCCGCATCGACATCATCTTGTTATCTTTTCTGGAAGCTTGAGGCTGTGGAGGAAATACAATCGATCAAAATCACTTGAGACTTGCAACACGCGCCCACTGCATAGACATAAGGATGGCGAAGAAATTTTTAATCCAATCAAACCTGTTTTGAACTTCCGTCGATGTTTCAGCTAAATATGTATGATTAGCATTTGATTTGCATTTAAAATAATCAGATCAAGAAAACGAAAAAGTCAACAGGACCGAAAAGTAAAAGAAAGATCATGGAAAAGAAAACGAATCCAGTTCTCAAAAGATGCATTAAGGAAACTTCGGAAAAGGCAGAAACACAATGTTGGGCGCCGAGAAAGGTCGCAAACTTCAATAGACTTACAGTACCACTAAATATCGAACAAAACAAGATGTCAAGAGCTCGAACACCATTTCCTCACCAAATATCGCTTCAATTTCTGTAGCTTACGACAAACTATTCAGGAAAAATGCGACACACAAATAACAGTGTAGGAAAAAGAAAACAAATAAAACTATCCTAGTGAATCGAGAAGTCTTACAGAACAAAGAAAAACCTCGAACAAACAAGCCCTAGGATCTAGCGCAAATAAGGCACAATGCAAAAGTAAAGCCAAACCACCTGAGACCGGAAAGCGGATTTCACAGCAGCGTTTCACGGCCGAGCTGGAGCATCATTTCTCAATAAACTCAATCTCAAAAGCTACTGCACAGGAAGCTCCACCGAACTCAAAGCGAAAAAAAACACTCCCATTACAGAGCTTCGGGAGAGTGAAAATGGCGGATGGATATACAGAGTGCAGGAAGAAGGAGAAGAGTTAGTACTTAGAGAGAGAGAGAGGATCCGTACGAAATGGAATAGACGTGAAACTTACGTACAGTTTTGGCGCGTGATACGACGCGCAGCAAATCCATCTAGACCGTCGGTTTAAGCATAAACAAAGTGAGGCTGCACGTTAGATTTCACGCCATTTTCTGACGTGGCATTTTTAATTCCAGATGGATTAAAAGTGGGGCCCACCCATTTATTGGATCCGTTTTGGCGGTTTCTTCTTATTTTACACTTCCATTTTCAAAAAACAATCATTTTAGTTTGTTTTTTTCCCTTTCATGATATTGTAAACAAAAAAAGAAAAAAGAATAATTAATAATAATAATCGATACCGTGACCATGACTTCTACTATAATCTCTAATATAAAATTTCTATTGTAATCTTTCGTCCAATCTTAAATCAATATGAATAATAAAAATAAATAAATAAAGACAAATTTTATAGTTGTGGGATTGTTTATTTAATTCTCGATCAAACATCTTACAAATTATTAATTTTTCAATTTTGTATAATCTATTAAACTATTTTTTTTTAGTAACAAATTTATTAAGCTACATATATTAATATTATTATACAATATAGAGCTCGAGATATCCATTCTCTCGAGGGTAAAGAGCTTCCAACACCCCACACACAAGCACCACCCAACTCGCTCAAGGGGACCAAAAAACGCCTGTCCATTTACCCCGGCCCTTGTTACCTTACCTTAACAAGCCCTCGAGCCTCCACAGCCAATTTGCCCCTAACAAATAATTTATACCCAAATCTTGGGCAGTTCATTTACAACAAAATAACAATTGAAACAAAATAAGGTTCTTAAGAATAACTCGCTTGATTTCATTTAGTTTGATACTGTCCAACAGCGCTGGTTCTTCCACATTGTTAATATACATTCGAACTGTTTCAGCTCAACAAAACCAAATACAAACACCACCCAACTAAGCATTCGAACTGTACATACCTCGTTGAGGAGCCATGGTCCACCCACAGACTGGGCCAACAAACCTTCCCATCTGTACAAAACTCTTTCAATGCTAAGGCACAATTGCACTTTTGATGGCAGTAAACTTTATAATAGTGCGGCATTCACTTTCCAATAACAAATGAGCTAAACCAATTCGTTCTTACGTCGCCTACGGTCAAGCGACGTATGCTCGAGTCTCTAACCTCAATTTAAGAAGAGGTTTTAAAAAACGAGGGCAGAGAGAAATTTTCAAAAGAAAGAAATCTATCAGAATGTACCTACAAGGCCTCCTACAATTTATTTTTAAAAGATTGAAATAATCATCCAAGCAATTGTGTTTTTGTTTTTGTTCATTTTTTAGTTCAACAAATTGTGGGACTAGAGATCCAATATGTGCATTGGTTAGAACATAAATCTTACATAAACTTTACCAACTAGCAACAAAGAGCCATTTGATTCCATTATTACCCAAAACCTACAGGTAAATGACCAGAATTTGGTGGCGAGAAACAAACTTCCTATGCTGTAAACATAAGAAAACTTCCTATCCTAGTCATACAGCTGACTAACCTTACCTATATTAGATTCCACCACAGCAGTAGATCAGATTCTAGGATGATAACCGAAAGGCCCTGAAAAGATTTCTTGGGCAAAATTTGATTGATAAAACTTGGAAAAGATGAACAAACAGAAAGAAAAAGATAAATAAACAGAAAGAAAGAAAGTGAAGAAGCACGGGTCGGTGTATTATCAAAAGATAGATTCCAAGTTGAGTAGTTTGAAAAGAAAAAGGCCTTAACGGTTTTCTAAAATGCCTATCAAAGAGAGTAACAACGGGTAACTAGGAAACTGCAATTAGAATAGTGGATAACCATCTTCAGAAAGATGCACAGATAAAAAGTTACTACATGTAGAGAACAAAAGTACGCTCTGTTGAGCAGGGTTGGCAAAGAACACAAAAAGATTCGACGACGGTGTGGTGTCAGACTGTAAAGTATTTCGATAAAGAAGATGCTAAAAGAAACCGGAGGGAGAACGTAGCTTTAAAAACGTAACAACAATAATAAGAACCAAAGTGAATAATTGTTGATGGAATTTTACTCGAAACGCACTGTGAATCCATGGAATAATTACAAAACCGAAGAATCGAGAAAGCGAATGACGCAAACGTGGACCACATAGACGCACTGCACAAACCATGATTAGTTCAAATTGACTGAAAGCACTTTTAGTTCCATTACTATTTGCTTTTCAAATGAAATAAGGCCGAAACCGTCTCCAAACAGAGAGATCAGGCTATAGCAAATATCGATTCCGCCAAATCAATCGTCAAGAACACACAAACATCTTGTCAAAAAGTAATCACAAATCAGATATTCGTCCAAAACGATTAAGTCAAATAAACACGCATTGATACCAACAATAATAAGTGTAAAGATCAATAAAACCTAGAGCGCAGAAGTGAGTTAAACCTTCGAATTCCAATAACGCAGCTCCTAGAAATGGATTTTTCAGATCTTAATAATAGTAAATTACAAGAGCGAAAACAATCCAAACCTTGGAAGATAATGCATCAGGAAAAAGACGCTAGATCCATGCAATCTTCATCGCGGTCTCGGATTCAGTTGATGCAAGGCGGGATCCAATTCGCCCAATTTTTCCCCCCTAACAGCAGAGGAAACTCAAGAACATGAACAACAAGATCAAGAAGCGAAACAGTTCCCGACCTGCACCAAGCGAATTAGAGACCGCCGATGACTGAACCAAAATAGGGCAGAGAGAAGGTAAAAACTATCGCCACCGCCATGAAAGAGACGAAAAAGAAGAAAGATAAGAAAGAAAGGGGAAAGAGGGAAACAGTTCAGACATTTAAGGCTAGTGGAACCCTATCGAGGAGTAGGGGTTGTGATTGCGTGATGCGAGGGTTATATATATTGGCAACAGACGAATGAGATTGGAACACGTGGCAAGAGCGATTATCGCATCGGTCGCGATTCAATTTCAAGCGGCGCATGGTGTAATAGCGCTTTGGTTTTTAATTTCAAACCAAGCGGGGGCCTCTTTTCCGCGTGGAGGTTAACAAAAAAGGTCATGGATTTCAAATTATTTACGAGAATGCCACTGTGCGTGTTGGGGACGACAATGGTCACAGTAATTGCACGTGCGCTTTTTGTTTTCCAGTGCCAACTCTCTCTTATAAATAATTATTTGATTTTTTAAAATTAAAGTTATAAACAATCCTCAATTTTTTCATATTTAAAAAGCAAACCAAATTTTTTAAAACTAAAAAATATATATTTTTATTTTGTTTAATTTTTTTTAAGAGATATAAAATCTATTATAAAATTAAAAAATTGAAAAAATAATAAAAAATGATTTAGGGTTTTTTTTTTTACTTTATTAGGAAAAATATAATAATAATTTTTTTGTTTTTTTTTTAAATATTTGTGTTAATTCCCAATATCATTTATAAACTAATTTCCAGGAAGTTTCTGGTGAGAAATTATCATTACAAACATAAGTTTCAACTGGTAAGATTTCGTAAGAGTGTGTAAACTTCTCTCTAACATACCCGTTTTAAAATCTTTAGGAAAAATTCAAAGAGAGCGTTATCTGATAGCGGTGGGCTTGGGACAACTATTGTCAATGTTTTATAAGGAGTTTCCTCGATAGTTCAATAGCTTCTAAAAACAACTTTACGATGCACCGGGAACCAGAGTTAGCAAAAAGACCACTAACTTGGGATTATTATCATTATTAGCGCTATTAATTAATACTATATCTAGCTTGCTCACAAATTATTAAAATATTGCATATATATATTATTTTTTAAAATTTTGTAAAAAAATAAAATAAAATTGATTTGGGTAAAGACAACTACCTAATATTTTTATTTGAGCCCATTCCTTTATTTTCTTGTTATACAATATTTAAAAAAAAAAATATAATAATATTTTAATTTGTAAAAATAAAATAAATAAATTAATTAAATTAAATGGGAAGGTCCATGGAATTGACTGCCGTGGTCAGGTCTCCAACCACATGGATTTCAAATGTAAAGATTCTCTCTCTATTATGGGGCATATTTTAATTACCCAATTCAGGGAGGACCAATAATTTTCAATTCCATACTTGATTGCACTTGCATTGGGGCATTTATGTTATTTTACTAATTATTGAAATTAAATTATTAAATTTAGATATATTTTAATGTACTTTAATTAAAATAAAACATTTTTCAAAGCACTATCAAAGTTTTTAATTGTATAATTATTATTACGTAAAAAAACCTAATAAATATGAAATTGATAAAAATAGTACAATAAAATAATACACACGCACACAATTATGCTTAATTAATCACCCCAATTAAATAGATTTAAAAAATATATATAATTTGCTTATATTAATATTTTGATATATATATTTATTTATTTATTTATTTTGATTCTACAGCTAGCTTTCGCACCCGTCTAAAAGCTTGCGGTCTTTTATTATCGATCTTCTTAGAATGGTTTTTCTTGCTTTCTCGGGTTTGAGTACCCACATTCTAATTATGGGTTTCCTTCACCACCTTCCTCACTCAGCCTTTGACGCTCACTTTTTTTTTTAGATTTGGGTGGTGATTGAATGTTATAGTTAGCGTGCTAGTCGGGTTGACCCTTGACTTTCTATTTCTTTTTTTTTTTTTTTTTTTTCAGAAAA